CAGGTTGCCCGACCCATTGAGCCCTCGTGCACTACCATGTCATAAGCTCTACTCTATAATCTGCAGGGGAAGCTTTCTTATTGCTCGGGTAACCAGAGAGTCAGCAGATTCCCCAAACCGTGCTGCCTACCATGGTGGGCATAACGTGATCAAGGCAGCCCAAGGTCAAGGACATCCCTGCTTTTCCCTTGGTAGCTAGATACCCATTGAGTGACAGGATAAACACTCCGCACAAGTGCAGGAAATAGTAATGGGTACAGTTGCATGGGTTCCTAGTAGAAGTGCCCACCAGAAAGTCAGGAATGAGAACCATCTCGGTGTCCCAGAAAAGGGGGCCTGTAGCACCCCCGTTCAGTGCCTCGTGCCAGGTAGATAATCAGTAAACATTTGTTGATTGAAGTCCCAGAAAGGGATGCCTACTGCTTCACAGACAATGTTGTTGGTGATGATGACGACGGTGATGGCGACAGCCCACATTATTTTGTGCTGGTGCTGCTTTCTAAGTTTCCCATGTGCTCCTTCATCTCATCCTTACAGCAGTTTTATAAAGCAGGCATTAGCTATTAGGACCCCCATTTCTCAGATGTGTACCCTCGGTGTGAACTGAGTCACAGAAAGGTCGAGGCACTGGCCCACTGGAAGGCACAGAGGCAGAATGCAAACTCATTATTGCAGACTCTTCCCAATCCCATCGCACACCTCAAATAAGGGTGCCAGAAAGGCCGTGCAGAGCTTGGGAGCCACCCATGTCGTTTTCCAGACCGTGAAGCTGGAGCAGGCATGGAGAAAACTGAGCATGCTCTAAGATCTCCCTTCCTGACACCTGCCCCTGCAGGCACCCACCAATCCTGTTCCTTTTCTCAGGCTTTCCACCCAGCCCCTCCTCTCCATATTCAAGGGTGAGCCCTTTTCCCTTTGAAAGCCACCCAGTCTAAGAGCTAGATACTTAGATCTGATTTGGCATGCTTAGTCCAAGCCAGGGAGCCCCCACAGAAGCTTGGGAACCAGGTCCCTCAGGCTAGAGTGTTGAAGCGGGGCCTAATTGTGCTAATCTTCCCCTCTCAACGCCAAGACATTGGGGGCTTTACCCTTAATACTTCAGGAGCCCACATGCCACCCATGGACTACCTCCTAGGCTCTGTTGATAGCCAGCCATGACAGATGCCAAGACGAAAAGTGAGCATGCCTACTACTGAAAGGTCCTCATGTCCCCACCCAGTCCATTGCAGGGCCAGAAAGGGCCAGAAATGCCTTTGTGTACAATGAGGGGACACCAGGAATGCTTCTCTCTACACCATGAAGCTGCTTTTGGGAGAACCAGAGGAGAGAAAAATGGCCTCTATCCAGGGTAGACTTAGGGACAGACACACACACACACATACACACGCACACGCGCACACACACACACACACACACACACACACACACACACACACACCTGCTTTGGCACAGAAACCTCCCCAGTTTACATGGGGCATCAGCAGCAACCTCCCCTCCTGGCACCAACTTATCCCTGAAGGGTGAGGTCACTGCTTGGGAAACAGCACAGGAATATCAGTCTGTGCATCAGGGCCTCCCCCATGCCTGCCCCACAACTGCAGAAGGGATGAGAGGAGACGGGGTAGTGGGGACTCGGTGGGCCATGTGTTCCTCCAGGCCCTCCATACCTAGCACCAAGATGCTTCCTGATACCTATGCCCCTTCCCCCAACTCTCACGTTGTGGCCCAAGCCCTCCCAACTGGCTTTTCCAGTTCTTGGCTTTATGTGGCGCAAGTTCCCCAATTATGCCCACATTATCTCAGCTGCTGGGCAGCCTCCAGCAGGCTTGGGGAGTGGAGGCTGGAGGAGCATCAGGGAGCACCCATTTATCCTGTCAGGGAGGATGGAAGAATTAATTGCTTGCCAGCTGACCAGTCAGCAAGAGTGCTAGACCATCTGACCCACTGACCTCCTCTCGGGCTGCTTCTGGGTAGGGTGTGGGCGGGGCTGCCGTGAGACAGAGCCAGAAGGATGCGGGAGACACAGGCAGCCAGCCTGCTCCTCTACAGAAGCAAGGGAAATGACTGCTAGGGTCTCACAGTAGGCAGAAATTCAGCCCCCAACTATGTGCCATACTCTTTCCTCACCTGTCTCACAGCTCCCCCAACCGCCAGCTGCTTAAGGGGTCTGGGATTTCCAAGGGCCGGTGGGAGCAGGGGACAGGCACACCCAATATGCTCGTTCAGACTCTAGTGTGAATGGCAGAAAGAACGGGGATATGTATGAAATTCTCCATGCCAAGGACATGGCTTGGGAAAGCCAAAAACATGTCTTCGGCATCTCTCTCTCTTTCTCTCTCTTACACACATATACCTCTCTTTTCCTACACATGCCTCCCAAGGTCTCACTATGTAGTCCACACTGGCCTTGAACTTAAGATCTTCTGACTCCTAAAGGCTAATATTACAAGCACATCCCACCATGCCTGGCTCAACGTGCATTTCCTGAGAATATGTTGTAATGTTCTCTAAGCCCCTAAGATCCCACGGTCAATGTGATCTCTGGAAGAGTGGAATGGGAAGCAATGTGCTGAACTGACCTTGGGCTTTGGGACCTTCCCAAGAACCCCCACTTCTCCATTCACACAGAGGAGGCAAGGGGAAGCCCCAGCTCCCCACTCTTGGATCCCAGGCCTCTCAAAGCCTTCCTCCTGCCTCTGCGTTAGCAGAGGTAATGATGGTACTCAGTAAAATGAGGATGTTGGGTATAAAGAACACAAATGTAGTCACTCGTCAACCACAGGAAGGACAGACTCGGAGATGGACAGAAGTAGAGGGCAGAGCCTGGTCTGGGGTGGTTGTCTCAGGCTAAGGGTCCCAAAAGCAAGGACTCTGTAGTGGAGACTGGAGGGAACATATGCCTTGCCACCCGCTGCCCACTCCTTCCTGGGAGTCTCCATTCTCCTGGCTACCACTGCAGTTTGCCCAGCAATAAATATTTGCTACACTAGAGAAAAGAAAACACGGAAGCCTGCTGTGTAAGCCAGATGCTGAGCTGGGCTGGGCCTTGGAGACCCAGGAAGGGAAAGAACTCCCTGCAAGAGTTCCTAGGCCAAGAGAGAAGTCAGGTATACACAGCCGTATTCTGAGGCAGGGAGGCTGTACTGGGAGGAACCTGGAAGATCAGACTGGGAGCTTCCTAACAAAAGGGCCTGAGTGGTTCCTCACAGGAGCTGAAGGGGAGGGGCCCCCTCGCTGCTGTGCATCTGTGCACCTTCTCCAGTTCCTGCCCCCACCCCCTTGCCGTTTCTTACCTGTATGCTATTTGGTTCCCCAGCAACGGGTGAGGTAGAGAAGAATGGATTATCTGGCTCATTTGTCAGATGAGGGAACCGAGGCCCAGGAAAGCTCCTAGCTAGAGCTCTGCTTGGATAGTAGAGCTTTCGACCCTCAAACAAAAAAACAAACAGCATGCTAAGTTCGTAAGGTGCCACCACTTATATCCTAAAATTCTGGAGGCTGAGGAGGGAAGATGGTTAGTTTAAGATCAGACTTGACTATATAGTCAAAACTGCCTTCAAAGACATCTTGGGAGGGCAAGGGGAGGCAGAGTTTGAATGTAGCTCAGAAGTGGAAGACTTGCCAAGCGTGTTGTCTCCATCCACAGAACGAAAGGGAGAAGCTAGCATGTGGACGTATGTACTAACATGGAACACTGACCCACATCACTAAGTGAAAAGCACCTTTTGGACAATCTGTACAGTATGATTCTGATTTTTAAAAAAAAAAAAAGTATAGGGAGCTAGGGAGATAGCTCACTGGGTAAAGCGCTTGCCATAAAAGCGTTAGGACCAGAGCACCTACACAAATGCCAGATGGGTAGTGGCCTGCCTAGGAGGCAAAGATGGGATCCCTGGGGCAATCTGGCTAGCCAAATTAACACCATCTGGGTCCAACTGAGAGATCTTACCTAAAAATATAAGGCAAAGAAGCTCATGCCTTTTAATTCTAGCACAGAGGAGACAGAGGCAAACAGATCTCTGCAAATTCGAAGCCAGCCTGGTTAACACAGCGAATTTCAGGCCAGCCAGATAGTAAGACCCTGTCCAAAGAAAGAAAAATATGGTAGAAATCAATTGAGGAGGATACTTAGAATCAACCTCAGACCCTCGTGTGCATGTGTAACACACATGCCAAAAAACAAACAAACAAAAAAAAAAAAAACAGCACACAGATAGTAGCCAAGCATTGTAGTGGCATTAATGGAGAATCACAGCACTCAGGAAACTGAGACATCGGACGGTGGTGGTGCACACCTTTAATCCCAGCACTCAGGAGGCAGAGGCAGGTGGGTTTCTGTGAGTTCAAGGCCAGCCTGGTCTACAGTGTGAATTCCAGGACAGCCAGGGCTATTTTACAGAGAAACCCTGTCTCGGGGAAGGGGGGTGGGGAAGGATGCTGAGATATGAGGATCATGAATCCAGGGCCATTCTGAGCTACAAGTGAATGGTGTCATTGTCTTCATGGGATTTTTCAGAATTACCTAGAGTGAGATTTTATTATTAAATTCATTTATTTATTTTATGTATGTGTGTGTATGCTGTGGTGGGTACACAGAGGTCCGAGAACAATTTAAAGGGGGTTTCTTCTACTGTGTGGGTTCTGGGGATCAAATTTAGGTCATCATCCTTGGTGGCCAATGTCTTTATCCACTGAGCCACCATAATAGGTGGTTTTTATATCGGGTAATTAATTAATTCATTTGGGGGGATTCTAAGTGAGTTTCATTCATGTCTCAGGTTGTCCTGGACCTTACTATGTAACCCGGACTGGCTTCAAAGTCTCATAGCAATCTTCCTGCTTCGCCTCCCAAGTGCTGGGGCTCTAGGCGCAAACCACCAGACCCGGTGACTGTTTTCATAGAAGTAGACTGCTGTAAAAGTTAAGAGCAAAGGACAGAGAATGGTAGGTGTGGGGAGTGGTGCCCGTCACTGACCACGTCCTGTCTTCCCGTCTACCAGGCACTCACACACAAATGGTGCAGGTGAACGACTCCATGTATGGCTTCATTGGCACAGACGTGGTATTGCACTGTAGCTTCGCCAACCCACTGCCCAGCGTGAAGATTACCCAGGTCACGTGGCAGAAGGCCACCAATGGCTCCAAGCAGAACATGGCCATCTACAACCCAACTATGGGTGTCTCTGTGTTGCCACCCTATGAGAAGCGAGTGGAGTTCCTGCGACCCTCCTTCATTGATGGTACCATCCGCCTCTCCCGCCTGGAGCTGGAGGACGAGGGCATGTACATCTGTGAATTTGCCACCTTTCCTACAGGCAACCGCGAGAGCCAGCTCAATCTCACTGTGATGGGTAAGATGCCCTGGGCCTCTTTCCCTTGCCTGTCTAAAGGGGTTGAGCATCCTTAGCATGTGCCTCAGTGGTCCCAGACACCCCTGTTGGGTTGGCATGTTCCCATAGCTCCAGGCATAGTGCCTCTCACTTGACTAGCCAGATTGTCCACAATTCCCAAGATTGGGGATGAGGCCTTAGCATTGGGCAGGGGCAGTATTTAGGTTGAAGCCTCCACTACGGGACATTGTGTTTGAGACTAGGACTCAGGCAGGTGCATAGGACACCATAGTAAGGAAGGAAACTGCTTGGATTGATCATGCCAAGACTCTAGGAAATCTTAAAAACAGGACTGTTCGTGCAGCAAGAAGGATTTACTGGCAGGAGGCACTTCCCAAGGGAAATTCTGGGAAGGGCTTTGGCAAAGCACAGCTGAGAGGCAGGGGTGATGGGCAACTTCAACTGATGCCATGGTGTTGTGCCCACAGCCAAACCTACCAACTGGATCGAGGGCACCCATGCAGTGCTTCGAGCCAGGAAGGGACAGGATGACAAGGTCCTGGTGGCCACCTGCACCTCAGCCAACGGGAAGCCTCCCAGTGTGGTGTCCTGGGAAACGCGGCTAAAGGGCGAGGCAGAGTACCAGGAAATTCGGAACCCCAATGGCACAGTGACAGTCATCAGCCGTTACCGCTTGGTGCCCAGCCGGGAAGCCCACCGGCAGTCCCTGGCTTGCATCGTCAACTATCACCTGGACCGCTTCAGGGAGAGCCTCACGCTCAACGTGCAGTGTGAGCCAGGGCCGACCCCTCCCACCCTCTGCTGTCTGCCCTCTTCTGTCCCCTAGTCTATCCCCTCGATTTTCTCCTCCAAGATGCTGCAATTTCCCCATCCTCTCTTTCTGTCACTGCCCCCTTCTTCTAATTTTTCCTCTTGCTGCTTTTGCTCTGAGGTCTTGGAATGCCAACTTGCCTTTCCTTCCAGCTGCTCCTGGGTCCCTTCCTTAACTGTTCCTTCTATCCCTTCCCTGCCTGCTCCCCTAACCTCACCCTCTTCCAACATCCTCCCTTGCCCCACAGATGAACCTGAGGTGACCATTGAGGGCTTTGATGGCAACTGGTACCTGCAGCGGACAGATGTGAAGCTTACATGCAAAGCAGATGCTAACCCCCCAGCCACCGAGTACCACTGGACCACGTGAGTGCTATGGGTTGACCCATCCCCTGAAAATATCCTTTGCTGGACCTCACACCTCCAAGGAGTAGGGAGGATTAGAGCCTAGGCTCAGATTTTCCCATGGGGGTTGATTTAAGAGATCCCACGTACGCACACAGACTGTGTACACACCTCTGCATATGAGTGCTAGGGTTTGGGACTAATAATAATCATGCCAGTGGGGGTGTTCCTCCTGACCTGCTTCCCTTCACTCACTAATAAAGGATTTTGTCACTTTTCTTTGGTGAATCATCCCACCCCAGTGCCCATTATTTACTTTTTTCCAAGGTGTCCCCTGGGAAGCTGGTGTTCTGGAACACCCCAGTCTTCCTTTGTTCCTAGACTTTCTGTACAACAGCCCCAGGTTCTCTGGGTGGAGGCAGCAGTGGACGCCCATGTCCCACTATCCCATTCTTGACTTTACAGTCTGGTTCTTGACCTTCAGAGGGGAATCGATCCCCCCTATCCAATTTGAACATCTCGAACCAACATTCTTTCCAGAGACTAGGCGGGACTCAGGGTGTGGGGGAAGCTAAGAAAGTTGACGTGGATGGCCAGAAGTCAGCAGCTAGAAGTGAGTCTAAACCATTTCTAGGAAGTAGAGGACCCTGGCAGGCCCTCCCTATCAGCCTGCACTTCTAGGCACAAAACTGCTTCTGAAGGTGAGGGTGGGCAGAACCTGCTTGCCCGTCAGCCGTGTACCCAGAGCAGCTGTTGACTTTACTGAAGAACAGCTAACAAGGGAAGGATGAGGCTTTCTGTACTTGGCAAACTCCTAGAATGTTCCCCACATGAAAACGTCTTGAGACATTTCCAGCAATGGCAAGATGGTCAGTAGAAGTTCAGCCGTGCCTGCTTCCGCATCTGAATAGCTTCTCCCAATGCTCTTGGCCTCAGTGGCCCCACCAAAGGAGAACTAGGATCAGGACCCAGGTGTCCCTGTTGTCAACCTACTACCAAGGAGACACAGACCAAGGAGAAGCCGCAGGAGCGGTAGAACAAGCACTCTCCTGAAGCCTGCAAATCCAGCTGGCCTCTGCTCTGCTGCTTCCTAGCTGTGTGCCCTTGGCCTTGAATCTCAGGTTTCATCTGTTAATGGGGGAGTGGTACCTATCTGCCTTGACTATGTTTCAGTGGCATGATGCTCAAACATGAACTGCCAAGCATGGTGGCCCAAACCCCGTCATCCCAGCACCAGGGAGGCCCAGTCAGGATTGCTGCAAGTTCAGAACCTACCTGGGCTATGTAACAAAACCCTGTCTCCAAACCCATGAATTCCTGAATAATAGAAAACTGAGATGCAAGACACTATTGTTGTTCCTATTTTCCCTCCATTCCAAACAGTCCCTAATACATGCACTCAGCAGAAGAGCTGGTAGATGCCTGGGGGCTAACTCTTGGAGCTGAAGAGTCCTAACCCTTCCCTGTGTCTCCCAATACCTACAGGCTGAATGGCTCTCTCCCCAAGGGTGTGGAGGCTCAGAACAGAACCCTCTTCTTCCGAGGACCCATCAACTACAGCCTGGCAGGAACCTACATCTGTGAGGCCACCAACCCCATTGGCACCCGCTCAGGGCAGGTGGAGGTCAATATCACAGGTAGGAGTCTGCCTCTCCTCCCACTCCCCATCCTCCGGTTCCTCCATAGCCACATCCGCTCCTTTCATTGCACCTGATGGGAAGTTTTTGTCTTTGTACCTCCCCCCTTGCTTCTCTGCAGCTCAGGCCATGGTTCTTTCTTCACACTTTCCTCTTTGCCTTATGGGGAGGGGTGTTATAGGGTGCAGTCAGAGTGACCTTCGGGGGGCCGGAAGTGCTGTTTCCAGCAATGGCTGAATGTTTGTACTAGGGAGTCCTGCTGGCTTGGTGGAAGAGGTCTGCAGGTGCGCTCACATCCTCCAAGTTCTGCAGCTGGAGTTGAGGAAGCCTGCAGGGCTGCAGGGCGAGGCTCGCCTCCAGCCAGACGGGAAAGTAGAGGCTAGAGTGAGCAAGCACCCTGAAGGCATTGGATACCGAATTGCTCTTTTCCCAGGTCTTCCTCTGTCATTACAGGAGGGGTGAATCAGTCAGGGGAAATGAGGGCTGTGTTGCTCCACAGAGAGGCTTCACCTGGGATGTGACCTGAGCGAGCCTCGTCTGTTAAATGGGGGTAGTGTGACCTGCCTTGAAGGAAGGGCTGCAGTCCAATGACACATAATGCAGGTCACATCACCTGGCACAACCCAGTCTGTCAGTAAGTGGCCGAGGCTCTGTTATTATTGTCGCGACCTCCATCATTATCACTGTCATTAATAGGAGCATCAAAACAAATGCACCAAGGAGTACATTGCCACCAAATTGCCACCAAACTTCAAAAGGGGGAGGTGTTTTCAGTATCAGACCTGAGCTGGTTGCAGAGTGAGAAAGTGACACGAAGAACCTTCAAGAAACAGGAAGGGGCATGGCACTGCCACCAAAGGACAGGATGTAACATGCACAGCATGATCCTGGGCTTCCAGGAAACGAGGCAGTAACGTAGTCTAGCTAGACACAGGTTTGGGGGAGCCCTGAGGACATCATCTGTGAGGACATTCCAAACACATCTGCACAGAGAGCAGCTGGAGCTATCCAGGGATTACACTGGGCTGTCCTTGGGGCTGTCCTGTCACCTAGGAACGAGAGGCTGTGATCACTTGCTATTTTCTTCAGCACCCTGCCCCTGACTCTGAGAATGTCTATAGGAGTAGAGGTGCCAGGGTTGGAGCCCGCTAACAGCCAAGGTCACCTGCCAGGACAGGGACAGACAGCAGAAGCGGACTGCACCACTCTTCCCCTTCTGGGACAAGTTGGAGACACATAGGGTCCAGAGCTCTGGCCCTGAGGCTGTGGGGTTGAGTGAGGAAATGCACAGCTGCCTTCTGTGAGGAGCCATCATACCAAGTGTGATGAGCAGTGTTACCTGAGGGCCAGGGATGTGTCCATTTAAGGACTCTTCTTGGCTGTGTGACTTTGAATAAATTCTTTACCTCTCTGAACCTCAGCTTCCCGATTTGTAATATGAAGGTAGTCCAACTTACATCCCATTGTCCATGATCTCCAACAGTAACACCAAAGCCACCGCAGCATCCCACTCTGCCACCCAGGAACTCTGGGGAAAATGCTGATTGGAAATTTGGTGGAAGTAAGGAATCCAGAAGCATCCTCTCATTGATGTTACTTCTCAGCATTAGAAGACCCACCAGAAACCCTGCTAGGGCAAGTATGCCCAGCCTCAGAATCACAGCCAGCAGGAGGGTACATCCTCCCAAGGGCTGCTCCTTGGGGCTCAGATGTAGGAGCAGAGAGGAGGAGAAGGAAGAAGAGACTAGCCATGGGGAGGAAGCGGCCGTGGGTACCCGGTACCTGCTGTGTGTCCCACGATCAGGTCTATCTAGGCAGTGGTGTGTGCTCGCCTGCACATAACATCTAGAGTGTGTTCGAGGATAGGTGGTCTAAAGCAACCCAGAGCTCAGGCTGGAAAAGGGTCATACCATGCCAGTTCTGTTATTAGTCAGGAGCCAAGAGACAAGAAAACATGGCACTCCTGGCTCTCCTGATGGGCTCAGGAGCTGTGTGCAGGTCAGCCCCACCGGGAGCAGCTTCTAGCCTTTTCGAAGGATTCAGCCAGATGTTTAAACCTTTCCAGTGCTGTTGATTCTTTAAGTGGCAGGAGACCTCATCGCCACTTTCCCCACATCAACAAGTGGCCTCTGCGGTCTCTGGGGACCGCCCTCAAGGAGCATAGCCAGGCACCGTGTTCCCAGCCCCACTGGTCTGAAGGCAATGCATGAGTGAGAGGGATAAGTGGGAATTTAATATTTCATCCTGACTGTCCTTTTAGGTAATAGCTTTGCCCTGCACACATCTGGAGAGTGGAACAAAGAGCAGCTGGGGTGGGGTAGGCAGGGGGATGGAAGGAGGACGGCCCATGATGAAGCAACATAGCAGGGCTATGTTCGGATTGCTGCATGGTGGCACTAGGACTAGTCAGTCACTGTCACAGTGAATGACCCCTAGTGTGAAATAGTCCCAAGCTGGTTATAGGGATAAGAAAGCTGTAGAAGCAACCTAGAGGAATTTGTGGATGCATTTAACAGTGTCTGGCCACTCAAGCCCATGTCCAAGGCCTTGTACTGAGAAGCAGTTTTAGAGTGCTGGGTAAGGGATCCCACCGCAGTAGCTAGAGGATCTACTTTCTTCCAGGAGGGCTAACACTAATGGTGGGGAGGGGTCCAGGATATGGCCTTGACCAAATAGGATATAGCTTTCCTCCCTAAGGATGTTAGGAGGAAGGTGGCAGATTGGCCTATTGCCACTCCCAAGAGCGGGGCAGGGAAGCTACTCAAGCTTAGTGTGTCTGTCCCAACTCTTACTCTCGGTGAAGTTTGGGCTCGTCCCGTGGGCATGCCAGTTAGGCCAGTTCTTTGGACCAAGGATGGTGGGCCTTCACAGGGAGTGTCTCTGCAAGTGTGCGTGCCCAGGCATGAGTGTGGGTGTGTTTCTCTGTAAGCATGTGTAAGCCAGTGTGAGCAGGCAAACCACTGTCTGCCTGCTGAGTGTGCAAATGGAAGCCTGGGGCTGTGCTGAGGGCAAATATGCCTGTCTCCAAGCCAGCAAATGGCACGTGTTTGGGAGTTGAGGATGCAGCTGAGTCCATACCTCTGGGAGTTCCTCTTCCAACTTGCAGGAGCCCTAGCAGACAATGAAGGAACTACACAGCTGCTTCAGCTGCAGGAAGACAACAGGGTTTCTCAGGGTAGGACCCCAGGCCTTCCCATTCTCCCTGTGACTGATCTCATTGCATGCTGGGAAATGTAGTTCTCACAACTTCCTGGTCTGATCTGTTATAGGTCATTTCCTGCCAGCTAAAACATTCAACATTAGTTGTGGAAGCAAGCCTAGACATTTTCTTTGAACCTAGAGCTTAGTTCCAGACTATAAACCCTAACTCCAGTACACCTCAGATCTGCCCAAAGCCCCTCACACTGGGTCACCCATCTTAGTGTGGGAACTCCGGACCCAGAATGAGACGTCCCACTGCTCTGAGGTCCTGTCCATCTCAGAAGCCTGCAGCCCTTCAGAAGCAGGGCCGGGTGGGCCACTTTGTAAGAGGTTGTGAGAGGGGCCAGCTGGGGCCCCAGCAACAAGAGCAAATGACCCCAGTGCTCAGTTCTTCCCTCTACCCAGCTGTGGCCCTTATGGTTCTGCTTCTGACATAGAGACGGATTTGCTGGGTGTGACAAATGGAGGGGTGGAGGAAAGGGGCAGGATGTCCCTTTTCCCTGCTGGCACATGAATTAGCCATCCCTTTCTTTCCTCACTCATTTGATGTGTTTATTTTGGCCGCGTAGCCATTCCTCTGCTCTACACAGACACTAAAGTAGTCAGAATAACGTGGATTCCCTTTGGTCACAAAAGGGCCCACAGGAACAGTAAACCTCCTTAGAGCTTACGAAAAATAAAGTAGAGGACCTGGACGGAGGAGCTCAGAGGTAGAGAACCAAGTATAACCCATCCCTAAGACACTGCTCTCCTCCTACCCCGACTCCTATAAAATGAGGTCCCCAGTGTGTCCCAGGCCCATGTTCTCTGTGGACTGAACGCTTTCCGCCGCCTGGAGTGAGCCTCACTTTTAAGGCAGAGCCATGGCATGAGAGAATATGTTCTTTAACTTAACAGAGATTTCATTGTCATGTGTTCTAGGCATTTGGGATAAATCAGTGAGCAAAACAGACCAGACTCCATCTTTGTGAAATTTATGGGGTCCTGGGGATGATGTAGGGAAAAGAAAGGTCACTGTGCAGAAGATGAGGGACTTGTACGTTGCATTTTTAAAGATGGTGGATGGGGAAAGTTTTCGTGAGTAGGTGATGTTCAAGCCAAGCCCTGAAGTAGGTGATGGCATGAAGCTCTAGTCCATGGCAAAGAGCCCTCAGCCTGCAGGAAAGCAGAACAAGATGGTGTCAGAGGTAGAGCAGGGCACAGGTCATGGAGAACGTTCTAGACTCTGTGACTTTGGGCATTCTTTGAGGGGAAAACAGTCATTAGGGGCTCTGGGCAGAGTAGCGGTGGGATGTGACTTGTACATTGATGGGATCTTGCTGGCTGCCAAGGGTGGAAGCAGGTAGGTGTCCATAGCCATACATCGTTCAGGTGAGAGATGATGGTGTCTCGGATGAGGGTGGTTGGGATGGAATGGCGAGAACTGGCTAGATTCTAGATTTATTTCAAAATATAATTTACAGAGTAGTTTGGGGCACCGACCATTCTCATCAGACAGATGATACAGCAAACCCTGTCATTCTGTGATTAGTGGGGTCAGGAAATCCAGTCTAGCTGAGTTAAATGTAAGAGCACGGTATTTTTTGTTGGTTCTTTGCTGGGAAAGCAGGACAGTAACCACGGTAGAACTTCTGTTATGCACAGCGGTCACGCTGCAGTAGGCCAGCCCCACAGGATGAGCGGCTCCTTCCCTCGGCCCTTCTCTTATCCCAACTGAAAGGGGAATCAGAACCAACTGTGGCCAATCCTAATTTGCATTTATTAGTGATGAGTTTTTAATTAATAAATTGGAATCTGAAATGGTTTAAAATAGAGTGAAGGGTGCAGGCAGAGTGGGTGGTGTGAGCCAAAGCTTGTTTGTGAATAGGGGTTCACTTGAAGCTGGGTCTGTAATCCCAGCTACTTAGGGAGCTGAAGCCAGAGGATCACAGGTTCAAGGCCAGCCTGGGAAACTTAGTGAGATTCTATCTCAAAATGTGAAGTAAAAGAGATCTAAGAATATAGCCTGGTGGTAGAGTATTTGCCTGGCTTTGTGCTGGGCTCTATGTTAAATCCTCAGTCTCACACACACACACAAACACACACACACACACAACCCACTTAGATAGCAAGCATAATGTGTTAATCATCTTTTCGTTACTGTCACAAAATACCTGAGATAATGAATTTAAAAGGAGGAAAAGTTTGTACTCCTTTGGTTCCAGCACTCCGGGAGGCAGAGGCAGGCAGATCTCTGTGAGTTCTAAGACAGCCAGGACCACACAGTGAGACGCTTGTTTTGGTGGGGGTGGGGTGTGTGGGGGGTGGCAGTGAATTAATTCTAGCATACAGTTTCAAAAGTTGTAGCCCATGGTTGTTTGACCTAGGCGTTAGGGCCTGTGATGAGACAGAGCATGGAAAGACTGTGAGGTGGAGTAACTCATTCATTCTGTGGAAGCCAGCAAGCAAACAGAAAGGGTCCCCATATCCCTTTCAAGGGCACCCCCCACAATGACTGGAATTCGTCCCAGTAGGCTCTAATGATACCACCACCTCCCAGCAGGGTCATGAACTAGCAACCAAGCCTTTAGTGTCCAGGCCTTTGCTGAGGACAGTCATGAAGGTGTGTGATAGAGGCCAGGTTCTAAGGCCCAGCAAGCAATGCGCAGTTGCTGCCGGTCATTGGGATAGAGAATGTCCGTGACTACACAGTGGAAATTAATCTGCTCACTCTGAGTGGGACAGCTAAAAGGGTAGAGACCCAGTGAAGGTGAGCGGCCCTAGAATCTTCTACAAACAGCCAAAGCCAGAGAGGAACACTGGCATAATAGAGGGAAGAGTCAGAGTGGACAGATGCTGGTGGCACTGGGAGCCCAGTGGAGGACCGGTGGATGGAGAGGATGAGAAAGGAGGACAGAGAACCTGGTTGGAGCAGTGGGATTTGAGTTGGTGATTCCAGAAGTTTCTCAACTCTATAACCCTAAACGTTAGTTCCCTGTCCTATGGGCAGGAAGATAGGGTCAAGCTCCAGGAAGCTGGGAATTACTCCATCCTGCATCTCTCTCAAAGTCCAGCAGGGTGTGGGAGAAGGCGAAGGGCTCCCGTGTGTCATCTAAGCCAATGGTTCTCAGAGTGTTTATCCTACTGGTTTTTGCTGAGCTCTGAGTCAATGGCTCAGGGTCTCATGGGGTACAGTTTGGGAATTGTATCCCATAAATCTTCAGAGATACAGTTCTGCAGCTGAGTGAGAGCTGTGTGCTTGAAGTGGCTTGGCACACCAGGAGGATCACAGTTAAGTCATGAAACGGATATGAGCTCTGTCGTGAGCAAAGACAGCGGGGGACAGAGGTCCAAAGACAAAGCCTCCACTAGGAAAGCTGGAGAAAGCCCAAGAGGGAAAGCCAAGGACCCAGGGAGTCTCGACGCAGCAAGCTAGGGGCACAGTTCAGAAGTTCTTTATGGACACCTCGCTTACTATCTTGGCTTCTCTGAAACCAAACCATCCTTCCAGAGAGGGCAAAGTCCAGCCTCCAAGAAGCCTTTTCTGAGTGTGTGCCATAGCGTTCTCTTTCTCCTACACTCCTGACCCCTTACAGCCAGCTCCCTATTGCCTGCTTGCTGCGGAGACTCCAAGCATGTCATTTGGTTCCATAGCCATGACTAGAGAGAAAGATATTTGGGGTATATTTGGGGTATATAAGGAAGTAGACAGGTAAGGGTGGGCCAGGAGTGGTGGTAGCCTGTAGCCTCAACATTCAGGAAGCCGAGACAGGAAGATCTCAAGTTCAAAGCCAGCATGGCCTAGTGAAGCCTTGTTCCAAACCAACCAAGCAAAGAAAGACATGGAGGTGGATGCAGAGGATCCGATCTGAGAACTGAAGGAGGAGGCAGGCTGAGCAGATGGGACCCAGGAAACCAAGAGGAACTTGAGACTGCTCCCAGAGACTGTTTCAAGGATAGTCAGTCAAGACAGATATCAGTAAACATTTACAGACCATCTCCTCTGCGACCTATACTGAGTACACACTGGTGACAAACGGGGAACCCAGTCCCCCAGGCTTGTGTTTCTCTCGCATCTGGGTGGCCACAACTCAGCCATGTGATCTCAGGCAAGTGTTCCCCCCCTTTAGGGCCCCCGTGAGCCACGGGAAAGCCTTTCCCCCATTCCGAACCTCCGCCCTGCTCCTGCCTGCTAGCCAACAGCACCCCACACACTCACATGGGACCCATGGGAGGAGTAGGATTCCGATGAAGTGAGTGATGCTGAATTAGGGAGTGAGCCAGCTGCAGCGGGCTCCCAGGAACAGACACATGGGCCCAGACAGGCATGCTACCTTGGCCTTGGCCCTCCTGGGCCAGGCTAAAGAGAGGACTGGACAGCAGCTTGCCCTGAGTCTACACCCCAGCTCCTTACCAAGGCCAGTCAAGGTCTCCAGTGCCACCCTGTGGTAGTGCTGGGAACCGTCTCCCTGTGTCTTGCCCTGGGACCTCTTGGCCTTTGGCCTGGTGTGGCCTGACTTAACCTTCTCCCATCCACCTCCCAGGCCTGGAAGACAAAGGAGAAAAAGAGATCATAGGGTTGTCAAAAAAGTCACCCACCTCACTGTCTCTTCCTTCCAAACTCTTTTAGTCTTTTCCCCACCTTTATTATCTTTTTATTTCTACTCTGCCCACATTATTGACCTTTCTTTTCCTTTTCTTTCTTTTTCTATTTTTCCTTTTTTTTTTTCTTTTTGGAGATAGTTTTATTCTATAGCCCAAACTGGCCTTGAACTTATAGCAGTTCCCCTGCCTTAGTTTCTCAGATCTTGAAATTAAAAGTAAGGGTGATTATGCCTGGCTCAGTCTGTCCTCATTATCTGCATATCTTTATGCACACATGTGTTGTGCTTGGCACGGCCTGTGAGCCATCAAACATGCTCGTACATGTGTATGTTCCTGGTCTGTAATACACATGTGGGCCTCCACAGCCCCGTTCTGCCTGTCCTTACTTTGTGCTAACCATCTGTCCCTTTGGTGTCTCAACCCCATAGCCCAATCTGGCAATCCCAACAGGTCTCCACCGTGCTCTGCAGGGCAGGACCACTACCAAGAGTCACAGCCCTGGTCTGTAGCACACTGGCAGATGACTGGCACTTATAGGGTATCTATTGAACCAAAAAGCTAGAAACCCATTTTCTGTATGTCCAGAAAGCAAAAGAAACCAGTCCTGGAATACCTACTAGACTCCTGGTGTTGGGACAATGATGTCTACCTGTCAGGCAAAGGGACACTGGTGACATGTGCACAGGGTTTATTTGTAAAAACAACCAAAAAAGCAGCAATACTATAACTCATTGGCTAAGTGGCCTCGGGTAAGTTAACCTCCCTAACTGTCTCCTGCACTGAATAGAAACGAATAGCAGACCACCCTTGGAGGGTGGTGGCAGTGAGGGGCACACAGTTAGGTACCTGCAGATGCGCCCCTGCACCGTGGAGGGATGGAACAGGACTGGCACTACCTCCAGGGATGGTCAGGGTAGAAGGCTGGGTTCTCTGGGTGCTTTAGCTGCCTTAGCTGCCTCTCTCCTCTCACCTGCCTTATTCTAGCGCCCAGTGCTTCAGCTGACGTGACCTCAAGGAGGTGGGGTACTAGGAACCTCTGGAACCAGGACTGCTCAAACATGGGGTGTGGACATCCTGTCCTGGGCCTTTCCCTCCCCTGCTTCCCGACACCCCCTACTGACTTCCGAAGAGCAGACACTGACTCTGTCCCCTCCGTCTCTTTTCCTTACCCAGAGTTCCCCTACACCCCGTCTCCCGAACATGGGCGGCGTTCGGGGCAGGTGCCCACAGCCATCATCGGGGGAGTGGCAGGGAGTGTCCTGCTGGTGCTGATTGTGGTTGGAGGGATCATAGTGGCCCTGCGCCGACGCCGGCACACCTTCAAGGGCGACTACAGCACCAAGAAGCATGTATATGGCAATGGCTACAGCAAGGCAGGGATCCCCCAGCATCACCCGCCCATGGCACAGAACCTGCAGTATCCCGATGACTCAGATGATGAAAAGAAGGCCGGCCCACTGGGCGGGAGCAGCTATGAGGAGGAAGAAGAGGAGGAGGGCGGTGGAGGGGGTGAACGCAAGGTAGGCGGACCCCACCCCAAATATGACGAGGACGCCAAACGGCCCTACTTCACTGTGGATGAAGCGGAGGCCCGTCAGGACGGCTATGGGGACCGGACTCTGGGCTACCAGTATGACCCTGAACAACTGGACTTGGCTGAGAACATGGTTTCTCAGAACGATGGGTCTTTCATTTCCAAGAAGGAGTGGTATGTGTAGCCCTACCTTCCGGAGCCTCTGTCTGTGCCCACTTCTCCCTTGCTCCTACCCGCACGCCCCCTGCCCACCCCCACAGCCCACTGCCCCAGGAGCTCAACAGAGACTTGACCAGCTGCCCTAAACCAGCCCCAAACTCCTGGGGAGCCAGGGGAGCTCAGGGCAGACCCCACTTGGCTTCGTTTTTTTATTTCCGCCCTCTCCCACCCTTCCCCGCGGTGTTGTGTTCGACTGTGACTTTGGTGTTGCTGTATCTTTCCTTTAAGGACCCCATCCACTGCCCTCTGTGTTGGGAGCCCTGTTCTTGTCTTGTGTACTTGGGCGTCCCTCCAGGGTTTGGGGAGCCAGTCCTCTCCCACCCCCCCAACACTGGAATTTGTTTGTGTTCTCTTCATTGGGGAGGGAGAGCAGAGGGGGCTTCAAGATGAAGAGCACCCTCACCTCACCCCATATGCTGCTCCTTTGCCCAATGTCCCCCCACTCTAAACTGGTGATGCAGCCAGGGCACCTAAAAGGTTATAGGGGAGTTCTCTGTGGTATCCAGGGGAGTCTTGTCTGTGAAATGATGGAGCTGAGGTTCCTACTGGGGTCCTGGGCACTGTGTTTTCCTGGTAAGAGTGGCTTTATGCTTTCTCTGTTCTGCTGGCCTACAAAATGAGGTTGGCCTAGCTGTCATATACTGCTTTCCTTTACTCCCAGTCTGTTCTCTACAGAGTGGGTGACCCCAGCTGGACTCTACTCACAGTCCCTGTATGCCTCCTCCCACACATGCACACACACACCACTGGGTCTCTCCCAGTGCTCTCACGCCCTGCCCAGGCTAAACACTGCCCCAGGCCCCACCCTTCTCTGCTCAAGGAGGGAATCAGTCCACAGAAGCATCAAGAGACAGAGAGGATGAACCACCCAGCTGCTGCCGCTCTAAGATTTCAGTGTAGCCCCAACCTTTCCAACGGTGTGCACGTGTCTCGGATTTCTCTTTATCTGCCAAGTGCTAGCAACACTTGACTCTTCTGGGAAGTCGGGGCTGGGATCCCAGGAAGGAATTTGAGGCAAAGAAGTATTTATATGGCGAGGACGTTCTCATGGAGGCTCCGCAAACACAATCTGGTAGACTGCAGGGGACTGCTAACGTCTCATACAGGAAGGCCAGCATAGATGTCACAAGTCTCAAGGAAAGTGCAGGAGCACCCAGGAACCTGCTGCTTGTCCACAGTTTCTACCAGTGCCATTCTGAGGTGAGGTGGACGACGAAGGGCCCTCCCTTGAGTGCATGGAGAAAGGCCCTCCCAACTCACTGTCCCCAAGCTCAAAGTGCCTCAGTTTCTCCATCTGTGCCCCAAATTCCCCACATTCTAAATGGGCATGCCTATTGCCTATGCCCTGGGGGAGGCAAAGTGGGCTACGAGAGCCCTAGGGCCTGCCTGCTGGGGTCTCAACTCACTCGGCTCAAGGTGACACTCTGAGGGATAGCAGGTGTTGGGGAGAGGGAGGCAGAGCACTCTGTGCCCCAAGGGCACTGACCCACCCTGCCATAGGCTTCCTAAGGGAGCCCCACCCCTCGCCCCACCCCCCCCCCTCCCTGGTGCTGCTATTGAATTCCCAGTCCAAGTGCCATCTCTGGCACCCCTTAGCCCACCAGCTGGGGCCATTTCGCCAAGCCTTCACTGCCCTAGTCCCAGCCCAGGCCGCCCAGTAGCCACGTAGCAGAAGTCTGAAGCCATGCCAGCCCTGTGGCGGCTCTCCCCTCTTGGCATTGGGGACACTGGATGGGGCGGAGTTCAGGAAAGAAACTTCTAGGGCCTTTCTAGCCACAGGGCAGAGGAAGGTGGAGGAGCTGGGCTGCTTCTCCCAGCAGTATTAGTGACCCTCCTATGTCACAGCACCTCTCTCCTCCTCATGCCAATTCTAGCTCCTCTGCTTGGTCCCCTTACTCCCGAGGCAAAGACTCACCCTCCTGCACCTCTCAAAACTTCCACTGTCACCCCTTATTCCTTATTTCGTGATGGACTGAGGAGGCCCTGGGCCCAGACAAAGCACCTAAGCTCCCCCTTAAGACACCTGCACGCCTTTCCCCCAAGCAAAGCACAATTTACGGGGTCTCTGCAGCAGGATCCAGGATCCCAGCTGTGATGCTGCTACCAGGCAGTTGCTCCCTGGGTTAAGAGAGGAAATGAGGCCGGCATCAGTCGCTGGGCCTAAGAAGCAGGGGCTTTCTTGGCACTGTGTTTGTTGCGGGACAGTGGCGACATCCAGCTGACCGTGGAAGGCCCAGTGCAGCAGAGCAGAGGGCGTTCCGCTTCATCTTCATGGCCCCAACCCAAGCTGAGCATCTGCCTTGCTGCACAGAGAATAAACTTGGTGTGTTAACTGTGCCAAGGCCTCTCCAGTTGTCATCTCTCATTGCCCTCCCTCTGCTGCCCCTGGACTCCTGTTTCCCTGCAGATTTTGATATTCTGAGTCTCATTTACCGGAAGGCCCTGAAAAGAACAGCAGCACACATCAGCGAACACATGCCCAGCACACTGGCGCTCGCCTTTCACAGACCAAGCACAGGCGCGTGTGTGCACAAGTACACACATGAGGAACGAGAAGCCCTTAGGAATGCTCAGGCCCGAGACAGTGGACGGGGACCCAGCCCTGGGAAGGTGCCCTCTGTGCCCCAGTCACTGGTGCAATAACTTTTCTGCTGCCCTTGAGGTGGGAGAATCAGGACTCATGTCAGGTGGGTGGGGCCGCCCTGAGCCCAGCAGACACCGCATTCCCTTTACTGGGAGGAGGGGGGTGCTCCCAGGCCTCTGGGGGTCCAGGTAGAGACTTCCCCAAGCCTGACTGCCAACTGAAACACCCTCTCCTAGTGAGGGCAGGTGGCTCAAGCTGGCCTGGGCCAGAGGCACCCGGAGGTGAGGAATCCAGTCTCGCCGATGCTGCTTTCTGACCCTGGCTGTGAGGAACGGGCTTGGGGTGGGGGGGTGAGTTTTGTTTTTATGTTAACCAATGGAAACAAAATCCAAGAGAAGCTGCCACCCTTACCGCCGAGTGTGGCCAGCTTCCTTTGCTTCAATTTCTTTGTCACCCTTTTCCTCTTTGGTCCTGGGGGACAGCCCAGCAGATTCTCCTGGTTCTGACCTGGGGAGGGGGGGTGTCCCACCCCCTTTTACTTGTATTAAAAAAAAAGATGGGTTGAAAATGTACTGAGAAAAAAAATGTACTTTTTTATAAATAAAGTGTTTAAAAACAAGTCCATTTGCATCCTGTCACTGAAAGTGGGGTTTGGGCAAAGCTAGAGAAGACAGCCGGACCACAGAGAGGATGCAGGAACACTATAGATAAACAGAACAACTGGTCCTATGACAGGGACTCATTGAGGTGCCCAATCAGCCACCTTGCCGGCATCTCTGGTTGAGCACCGGTAGGCTGCAATGGCACCATCTTGCAATGAGGAGATGAGAGCTGGGTAAAGCAGTAGGGCACAGGGGGATGGTTGGCGTCTGCTGGGCAGGGTGGGGGTCAGGAAAGGGATGACAGAAGGACACAGCTGAGGACCGCGTGCTCTGGCTCGAGCCACTGTTCCAGAGCTCTTGCCTCAGTCACCACCCCTCTCCCGGGCTGGTCTCCTCTTGCCCACTTCCTTCGAATCCTGTTCCTCCCTGTCGGGTCCCCTGTGGCTCTGAGGAGAAGAAAAAACGCAGTGGAGCACCTGCTGTGTTAGGCAGATTCCCCGGAGATGGGGGCGGGGCGACTCTATACTTCCCTCTTCTATTCTGAGGATGTAGTGCCGCCCTGTCCCCCCAACAACTCTCCCTGATCCCAGCCTTAACCCTTCCCTCTCAGGGGGCTGGTTGGGGGAGCGCTTCTTGTCCCCATGCCAGCAACATCTGCTTCCCATCTCCTGGGCTGGAATGCAGGACAAATCGACCCTGAGGGTGGAAGGACAGGGGGCTTCAGGGACTGCCCCCTCCTATTCACCCCTGGTGGCATCTCTTTTTACCGAGATCTATCCCATAGAGCCTCGGGCTCTAGAGGGGGCAGGGACCATAGAAGCCAAGACAGCTGCTTAGCAAGTCCTCAGGTCCACGTGGGAACAAGGCCACCTCCTCCACACCTACGATTAGATCCCCTAAGAAAGGCAGAATCCAGCGTGGAAGAGGAGCCCGCAGCTGTTGGCAGCTGGCTGAGTCCCTCACTGGAAGGCTAAACCAAGGCACCCAGGACAGACAGAGCTGTGTTTAGATGTTGATACTCGAATGAGATGCAAATTGGTTGTCTAAGCGGTTATTTCCTCAGTTTTTCAGGCTGTCTGTTTAAGTTAATTTTTAATTTGTGCGAGCAATAAATGCTTAATTACATTATTAATATATTGGAAGAGAGCAGTGGACAGAACATCCTAATTGGCATTTAACTAGAGCGTTCCGGCAAATTAGCCAAGACTTTCTCCAGCTTCGAGGAAGGAGGGCAAGCCAATTAGTCTCAGGCACAGCCTCTGTGGGAGGAGCTTTGCGCTGGAGAAGCCAGACCCACACTTTCCCTAGGCCTGAGGCTGGATACCCAACTTTGAGGATACTAGCTAGTATCCACACTCACTTCCTAGTTGAGTTAGGCTTAGGAGAAAATTCCTGTTACTTAGGCCATGGCTCCTCCTTCTGTCCAAACCCAAAACCCTTGGCCAGAATAGGGAACCCAAGGCTGGGTAGCCTGAAACAGTCCCTGCCCAGCTGGGAGTAGGCAATGGTGGCATGCTGGTACCCTGTTCTCTAGAAACCATTCTACGAGCAAATGTCTCGCTGCAGGTGACTAAGGGAATAAACTTGATGTTCAGGAGTCATATATTTGGTTACATATTCTTTCACCTAGGTCACAGGTTTTTTTTTAAATGTTTATTTATTATATATACAATATTCTGTCTGCATGTATGCCTGAAGGCCAGAAGAGGGCACCAGATCTTATTACAGATGGTTGTGAGCCACCATGTGGTTGCTGGGAATTGAACTCAAAGACCTGTGGAAGAGCAGGCAACACTCTTAACCACTGAGCCATCTCTCCAGCCCCCCTAGGTCACAGTTTGGGTCACTGGAGGCCAGGCCACTCTGCTAGTCTGTGATTGTGGCCGCTCCAAGAATTCAGAACACCAAGGACTCCAGATTCCGAATGAGACATTGGCCTCCTGACCAAGAGCTCTAGCAGGGCAGAGCTGTAGCAGCGCAGGATGAGTATTGCTAGCTTTGTCTGAAAGGGGGTAACACGCCTTCTGCCTTGCCCTTGAAGAATACACAGGGATCCTGCAGATATTGGGGTCACAAGTACTCTGGGCAGACTTCAGACATTATTTGTCCCAAAGTGATCATGCCAGTCCAACCCCCTCACTCTGTACGCGGAGATCTGAAGTCTAAAGTGGAAGCTAGGAACCCAGCAGCACCCCAGTAAATGTATTCTGTGCTCGCTCATGCCTCTGAGAGTGGGGACTGGAAAGTGGGTGTCAAAAACTGAGAGGACAGGAAAACAGATCTAGAACAGATTTCCGTTGACCAAAAATCAATACAAGCCCCAGTGGAGCATAAGGTAGGCACTCAGGAACTACGCTGAGCACTGAGTAGAGTTACCAATCATATTAGACTCATTGAGGAAGACTTCCTTGGAAAGATGCCAACAACTGGTTTAAAACAATGACAGGGACATAGATGATGGCACAGTGGATGGAGGAAGGCTTCTGATGGCTGGAATAAGCGCTGGCTGGACTCTGCTTCTAGAAACACCTCGGTACCTGCCTCCACGTCCAACAGCTTCTGGCTTCCAGGAAGCAGTCTTCAGGCTTGACCTTGATGCTAACCTCCGTGGTCCTCAAGCCCTATTCTCTCCCCCTGGTTGATGTGCTTGATGATGACCACCAAGTCCTGGTCTTCTGGGGACTGCTCTGTCACTCCTCATCTGTGCCACCAACTCTTAGATGACTGTCAGAGGCACTGTTCCCTCTTTTTCTCCCTCTGACCACCACTCCTCCCCAGGTACAGATACACACGCACACACACACTTCACACCCCATACTCTGCACCACCTCTGGCCTCATCATATTCAGTTCACCCTGGACTCCAGGCTCAGACTAGCACAATCTGCCTCGAGAGCCAACACAACAGCACCATCTGTGTACACCACTAGTGCCGCTGAGCACAGAGTACTTAATCCAGAATCACCCTACGTGTTAATTACTTGCCTTGTTGCTATGACAAAAGAGCTGACCAAAGTGACTTAAGGAAGGGAGGGTTTATTAGGATCCTGCTTACTCACTCTTTGACAGTGTGTTTCATCTGGGTGAAGATGTCCCTGCATCAGGAAGGGTCACAGTCTAGGAGGTAGAGAGGAGTGAGCGTTTATGTTCCCTTCTCTTCTTTCCTTCAGTCTGCCACCAGAGCCCAGGGTATGGTGCTGCCCACATTTAGGATGGATCCTCCCAGCTCAATTACCCTAATCTAAATAATCCCTCACAGACATTTGTTTCCATAGTGATTCTAAATTTTATCAAGTTGACAGTCAAGATTAGCCATCACAGTTGGCTTTGTTTGAGGTTTTTGTTTTTGTTGTTGTTGAGATAGGGTTTCTCTGTGTAGTCCTGGCTATCCTGGAACTCACTTTGTAGACCAGGCTGACCTCAAACTCACAAAGATCTGCTTCCCTCTGCCTCCCAAGTGCTGGGAGTAAAGGTGTGCACCTCCACACTGAGCCACAATTGAGGTTTTAAAACACTAAGCCTTGCCCCAGGCAGGTATAGGCAGAACCTCTGGAGTTTGGGAGCTTGGGCGGTCTAAAAGACAGTGAGAGTCAAGCCTCCCACATGAAGTTGGGAGCAGCCTCAGGTGTCAGTCATGAAGAAAAAGCGGGTCCTGAGATAGGAGCATGACTAAGCATGAGTTCTGTAGTTCCAGAACTCAGAAAGCTGGGGTAGGATTGTGAGTTCAACACAAGCCTTGGATAGAAAGCAATACTCTAAGGAGAGAGAGGAAGAGAGAGAGACCTATTGGCGCATAACAAGTATGATATCTGGAACAGCAAAGTGGAGGAGTAGTCGGATGACGGCAAGGCAGTGTGCGTAGGACTTAGGTAACGACTATGTCATTATCATCATTACTAGCCACCCTCATCATTACCCTTCAAAGCACCATGTCCTGATGATGACGCCTGTCACAGAAGCCACCACCTGGAGGTAAGTAGGGGGCCAGGAGATCGCAATAGCTGTGAGCAGGTGTTCTGATGCTACACTGCTCCTAGATGTGAGAGCTCTAGGCATCTTCCAGAAGAGAAGGGAGGTTCCATAGACCCTCGGTGAATGAAGACTCTTGGTCCATGGTGCTGAAAGAAGTGAATATGCTTCAAGAAGGAAGCTGAGTTCCCTCTATAGGAAAGGTGGCCATGCTTATACCCTTTAGGCCCTTTTCCCTGTCTGAGGACTGGCCCCACATGTCCTGAGAAGGCCTGATTACCCAGTGAATGAAAACGTCGGGAGGATGGCTGATTCAGAGCCCTGCAAGTCCCCTGAACCTCCTCATGCCTAATGTCTTCACAACGGAAGACTCTAGCTTGTCCTAGTTGGGATTTCTGTTGCTGTGGTCAAACACCATGCCCAAAAGCAACTTAGGGAAGACAGGGTTTTATTTCACTTCCACTTCGGCATCGCAGCCCGTCATCTAAGGAAGTCAGGGCAGGAGCTCAGGCAGGACCCTGGAGGCAGGAACTGGAGCAGAAGCCGCGGGGGAGTGCTACTTACCAACTTCTTCCCCAAGTGTTACTCCACCTGCTTTCTGGACATCCCAGGGCCACCTGCCATGGGTGAGGTAAGTACCCACAGTGGGCCAGCTCTCCCACATCAGACACTAAGTAAGAAAACACACCACAGGATTGCCCACAGGTCATCATGGGGGTATTTTCGCAAATGAGGTTTCTTCTTCCCAAATGACTCTAGATTACGTCAAGTTGACATAAAACTAGCCGGCACATAGCTCCTCTGCATTTTGCAACATCCTTGGGACCCTCAGTCTCGGGAGAAACCCACAGCCGAGACTGTGGGAGGCTGTTTGTACATAAGGGCAGGGGGTCTCTGGGAAATTTCTCTGCCTTCCATATAGCCTTACTGTGAACCTGAAATTACTCCAAAAAAATAAAGTCTGCTTTTGTCAAGCCCTCGGTTATCCCAGTGTTCCTGGGAGAACGAAACACTATCTCCCTCTCATCCTGAGCCAGATGAAATATTGT